AGGCAGAACCAACCCTCCACCCCAATCCCAACCAGTCCTTCCCACCCACCTCCTCAGCTTTCAGTATCAACTCCCACTGGTATACCAAGTCACTGCAGGACTAGGTGCATACCCTCTCACTGAACCAGACAAGGCAGTCCAGTTAGAAGAATGGGATCGACAGGCATGCAACATAGTTAGAGATAGCCCCTGCTCTAGTTGTTGGGGAATCTGCATGAAGACCAAGCTGCACATCTACTACATATGTGTGGTAGGCTTAGGTTGCTTGCTCTTTGGATGATGGGTTAGTCTCTGGGAGCCTAGGGGCCTAAATTAGTTCACTCTATTATTCTTTTTGTGGAGTCCCTTTCCCCCTTGGGTCCCTGAATCCTTCCTACAACTCTTTCACAAGACTTCTAGAGGTATGTCTATTTTTTCTCTGTGGTTCTCTGCATCTGTTTCCATCCACAGGTGGAGCCTCTCAGAGGACAGCTATGTTAGGCTCTTGTATGCAAGCAAAACAGAGTATCATTACCAGTATCAGGGAATGATTCTTGCCCATGGGATGGGTGTCAAGTTGGGCCAGTCATTAGTTGGCCATTCCCTCAGTCTCTGCATATCTTGTAGGCAGAACACATTTTGAGTTGAAGGTTTTGTGGGTGGGTTGCTGTACTTATACTCCACTGGAAGTCCTGGGTAGCTACAGGAGGTGGCTTAAGTGACCATATCTCCCACTGCTAGGAATCTCAGCTAGTATCACCTCCATAGATTCTCTGGACTCTCCCTTGTCCTGGGTCTCTGGCACAACCGAGAGATGGCCCCATCCCTCTGCCAGCTGCCTATTTCCATTCTTTTCCTTCTGCTTTCCCTATACCTTATCTCCCACCCTGTTTCCATCTACATCTTCTCTCATATTCAGTTACCTCCCTCCATCTACTTCCAATATCTATTTTATCTTACCTTTCTGAGTAAGATTCAAGCATCCTCTCTAGAGCTCTCTTTGTTATTTGGCTTCTTTTGGACTGCAGATTATATTGTGATTATCTTTATGGCTAATATCCACTTAAAAGAGAACATTCCATGTATGTCCTTCTCATCTTGGTTACCTCACTTAGAATATTTCCAGTTCCATCATTTGCCTGGTAATTTCATGATGTCCATGTTTTTAATAGCTGAGTAGTATTCCATTGTATAAATGATCCACACTTTCTTTATCCATTTTTCAGTTGAGGGACATCTGCATTCTTTACAGTTTCTAGCTATTATGAATAAATCTGCCATGAACATATTTGAGCAAGTGTCTTTCTGGTATGGTGGAGCATCTTGGGGTATATGCCCAGGAGGGATATAGCTGGGTCTTGGCATAGAGCTATTCCCAATTTTCAAGAAACTGCCAAATTGATTTCTAGAGTGTTTGTGTTCATTCTCATTCCCACCAGCAATGCAAGAGAGTGTTTCCGTTGCTCTAAATTCTTGCCAACATGTGCCATCCATTGAGTTTTTTATCTTAGACACTCTGATGGGTGTAAGGTAGAGTCTCAGAATCATTTTGGATTGCTTTTTCATGACTAAAGATGTTGAACATTTATTTAACTGTTTCTCAGCAACAAGAGACTCCTTTGTTGACAATTCTCTGTTTTAACTCTGTATCCCATTTTTTAAAATTGGATTATTTTGTTTGTTGGTGTCTAACTTCTTGAGTTCTTTATGTATTTTGGATATCAGCCCTCTAATGGACATAGATTTGGTGAAGATCTTATCCCAACCAGTAGGCTGCTGTTTTGTCTTATTGTATCCTTTGCCTTACAGAAGTTTTTCAATTTTATGAGTTCCCATATTATCAATTGGTGACCTTCATGCCTGAGCTATTGGTGTCCTGTCCAGATGTGTTAAAGGCTATTCTCCACTTTCTCTTCAATTAGATTTAGTGTAACTTGTTTTACGTTGAGGTCTTTGATCCACATTGACTTAAGTCAGCATAATTTGTTAAAGAGGCTTTCTTCTTTCCATTGTATGATTTTGGCTTCTTTGTCACAAATCAAGTGTCCATAGGTGTGTGGATTTATTTCTGGGTCTCCAATTCAATTTCATTGATCCACCTATCATTTTCTATACTAATATCATGCAGTTTTTATTACTATTGCTCTGTAATACAGCTTGAAGTTAGGGATAGAGATACTTCTAGAAGTTCTTTTATTGTACCGGGTTGTTTAAGCTATCCTGGGATTTTTTTTCCGTATTGCAAAGCAACATAAATACAAGCAGCATAGAGATTTTGCTCAATGCTGACATATTTGTTGTTAAATGTTTGTGAAGAACTAGGGAAATGAGTGCCTAGGTTGAAGTACAAGCTGGTACACAAATCATAAAAGCTAATCTGATGCTGCTGTAGGTTTAAATGTGTATATCCTATATGTGTATACCTAATTAATGTATATGTCTGTAACTTAATTGTAATTTAAAATACCTATACATACAGAATGATGGGAAATATATACATTGTATTCATCCATATAAGAGCAAAATATTTTAAATGAGTTGTGTTTTGTCAGTAGTGAAGATCTTATAATTGAGGGTCTTAAATTACCCCCCCCCATAGCTTGGTTTAGCAATTGTAGAACTATTAGAAGGCAATGGAAATGTTTAGGAAGCAGGAGGGGGGACACTAATAGAAGTTACCAAATTCAGGTCATTAGCATGTGCCCTGGAAGTGGATATTGGAACCCTAGCCTTCTCTCCATTTTTTGTTGCCCGTCTTCTATAGCGTAATCCACCCTGCTCTGTCTTACAACCCTGGACCTTAATATACTGCCCACTATAGGTCCAACATGAACAGAAGCCTCTATCACTAGGGACTTTTCAGATGATTTTCTTAGGTATTTTCTCATAGCAATAGAAAATTGATGAATGACTACCTGACTGAAAAAAGAAACAGTGCATCCATACTACAGGGCAGTAAGCAACAGTTAAAAGGAAAGGTAGATATCTGTAAACTGATATGTAACCATCTCTAAAACATGACAGAAGGAAAAGCTAGTTATAGAATCACTAAGTATTTATCTATAAATAACCAAGAAAATGAGCATCTTTCATATTGTGTGTATTGGAGGAAAACATTCTAGAAGGTTCACAATTTACTGATAACAGTAGCCACATTTTAGAAATGGAGAGGCAATGAGGAGGATTTAAGCTTTGTATGTAGTATTACAATTTTCAATAAGAGTGAATCCATGGCATGAGATATGTGATGTTTTACTTAGACATTAGAGGGTTGGTTTCCTTCTTCGATTGTTTGTTTTCTTAGTAACTGAAGATCATAAAGCAAATTGCCTCAAATGTTTACTCTTCAAAGAAGGTAAAACCTGAGTTATTTTCTTACAGTGTTTTTTATTTAAGCGTTATGCATCTCCCATGTGCTAGAATACCACCCAGATGACCGATCTGAACTCCTGAAGAACCTGGGCTTTCTTGAGTCATATTGTTTCATTTACCCAACAGTGAGACAGACCATTTACCTTGAAATTCTTCAATGTCTCATGTGGTCAGAAATTGTGTTTCAGACTCTGTTCCAGTGAAGGGAGTTTGAGGATTTCCATAGTGACAGATCTCTTCCAGCTCATTAAACTTAAAAGCATGAGGTCAGAGGAGGCAGTAACACATCTCCAGAAACAGATCATTACCTTAGCCACAGCTGCCACTCTGCTGTGGAAAGGCTGTTGGTGTACGCACAGAACATATTAAAATCCTAAAGCCTGGTTATAATTCTTCCACTGGGATACACTAAAATGTCTATCCTTTTCATCAAAAGTTAGAGATTTGGGAAAACAAACACAAGTTTAAAAATGATCGCTCCTCTCAAGTGGTTTGCAATCCCATAGGGAGAACAACAATATCAACCAACCAGATCTCCCAGAGCTCACAGGGACTAAACCACCAACCAAGGAGTACACATGGAGCGACCCATGTTCCCAGCTGCATATGTAGCAGAGGATGAGCTGGACTTGTTGGGCATCAATGGGAGGAGAGGCCGTTGGTCCTGTGAAGGCTTGATGCCCCAGTGTAGGGGAATGCCAGGGTGGGAGTGGGTGGGTGGGTGGGGGAGCACCCTCATAGGAGCAGGGGGAGGGGGGATGGGATAGGGGGTTTCCAGAGGGGAAACTAAGAAAGGAGATAACATTTGAAATGTAAATAAAATTTCCAGTAAAAGAAAAAAATGATTGCTCCTTTAAGCAACAGAATAAAACTGAGCAGAATATGAATGTTGGCAACATACACTGTCACCTAAAACAGAAGGGAAGAGATATTTTACATGGACATGGACAGTGGCTCAGTTGGTAAAGGTGATTACTATCAAACCTGAGGACATGGGTTCTAGTCCCAGGACTGACTCATGGAAGTCACCAAATAACCCAATTTGAATTCACAGAGAAACTACTGAATAAGTTGCCATATATTCTTTGATAAGTTCAAGCCAGCATACAAGGATGAGTTCAGTAGTCATTTTGTTTATGTTAAGCTCATTACCTAAGAAAATGAGCAAATACCATAGATTTTAGAGCTGTGTTTGCTTCTTGAGAAGCAATACCAAGGAAGGGCATGTTTGGAGCTTTGAGTAACAAAATGTGGAGCACACTTTGGGAAATACTTGTCCAAATTCATGTAGATGTACAGATTCATCAGCTGTACACATAAGGTTTGCTCACTTTCCGTTATATGACTTGCCCTTTTAAAACTACTGCTTTAAAGGGGAATTTCCATAAATTGTATGTTAATGTTTTAATACCGTGATAGAGTGAATGAGTTACACTTTGGCTTCCTTCTTTATCTTTCAGCAAACATCACTGCCATTTTCTCCTGTGCAGGCTTAGTCATCCAACTAGCAGCAGACTGGAGATGAAGATAAAGTTAGGGGAAATGAGGAAGAAAAGTCTCTCTTAAATCGGTGAACTGAGAGTAAACAAAGTTGACCAAACTGTCATCACTGAGTCTACCCAAGAGGTTACGATTTGTGCTTAGCTAGATTCCATTCCTGATGCATGCTTTGGGGAGGACTCCTGCTTTGACCTTGCTGATCTTCTTCGCTATGTTGGTGCCTGGTAAGTCTGACATTCTGAGAATTTTAGGAAATGAGATTTTCTTTGAAGTTTACTTTGGACTATGATAATCCTCCTGCCTCAGCCTCTTCTGATTCCTTGAATTACAGGAACACACGTTTGTTGCAGGCTAATACTCTACCATTTACTTTTAAGCTGATTATTCTTGATAAACAGGTTTTCTACAAATATTCCACTAAACTATTTGGTTAGTCATAATTGTGAATTTAAAGATTAGAGACTGCCTGAAAAATAAATGCTTTACTAGATTTCTTGCTTGCTTCATCTTTACAGTTGACTTGTATGGGGGGGGTATTTGAGAAGGGAAGCATCTGGATCCAGAGTAAAGTGGAGGCACTGGGCTTAGCTAGGAGGGGGCAGTCCTCCTGCACTATAAGGGAAAGGGGGATGACGTGGTCTCGATGCAGGCCAGTGTGTACACTGATGCCACAGATTATGGAATCTTCTTAAAGCATTTGAAGTAAAAGTGTTGGAAGTTACTAGTAGGAGGGGGAAGCAGAGTCTAAAATAATCCTTATGAGGACAGGACAGCCGAGCCCACCAGCTACAGTGCTAGAGCTCTCTGCCTTAGCCCTGTCTCTCCAGAACCACAGTTCCTAAGCAGACTGATCGATGTAAAAACAAACTGACTTTTCTTCAAATACAAAAATACCATCTATGTCCTTCTACTTCAAGATGTATAAGATGAAGAATCTGAGATCAAGTACACTATTAATAACCCATTCTCATCAATTAAGAAAGCAGGAGGGTCATTCATGAAATTAATCTAACTTACTTTAAAAATTTTAAAGTATGTATGTATGTATGCATTTACTGATCCCTTTAAGGAATCAGCTTTAGTTTTGTTTATTTTCTCTGTTCTTGTGTTCACTGATTTTGGCTCTCAATTTCTTCCTCTTCCTCTTCCTCTTCCTCTTCCTCTTCCTCTTCCTCCTCCACTTCCTCTTCCTCCTCCTCTCCCTCTCCTCCTCCTCTTCCTCCTCCTCCTCCTCCTCCTTCTCCTCCTCCCCTTCCTCCCTCTCCTTCTCCCATGGTATGGTTCTATCTTTTAAAATTTGTTACTATTTTGGGCCAGAGAGATAGATCAGTGGTTAACAGTAGTTAAGATCTGGCTGCTCTTTCAAAGGACTTGGTTTTGAATCCTAGCATCCACATGGTGGCTCACAACTATTTGTAACTCCAGTTCCAGGAGATCTAATGTCCCTTTGGGGCTTCTGAGGGCAGCAGGCATGTAAATGATGCACATAGATACATACAGGTAATATACCCATATATATAATAAAATTTAAGAAATTGAAATAGGTATCTTACAGCTCAGGATATAGTCTATTTTCATGAAAGCTCCATTTTAGCTCTGAAAAAATGTATTCTTCTACTGTAGGAAGTCAATTTGTGGAGTATAAATTATACAGAGCTGGTGACATTCGGTGTGTTCAGCTTTGCCTTTCATGATTTTGCAACTATTGTTGGTTTTTCCCTTTCTGAAAGAGGGAGGGATGTTGAAATCTCTGAACTATGAGTGTATTTATTTACCTCTTGCTTCCAGCAATTTGCAACAGGTTTTGCTTTTTCATCTAGACTCTCTTTTGTTAGGTACCCACAAGCTAAGAATTGGGATTTGTTTTCCGAGGAGAATTGATGGTACATCTTTATTCAATGCTTTTATCCTTAATATCTTTTCTTGATCTCAAATTTTATCTATCTAAAATTGATACAATTGTCCACCTTTGTTCACTGTTAGCATAGATTTTGAAATTCATCTTCCTTCACACTCAAACCTTTGAGAATGGAAGAGGAATGGTTTCTCAAATTTCCAAGGAAAGTGGAAAAAATGTGGAATCCTGTGGTAGAAGCATATCTCCTAAAGTAACAAAGGCCATGACCTCATTGTTTTCCTAGAGATTAGGTAGGTTGTAACTGCAAAGATCAACAAAAACTAAGATAATGCCAGAATGCATAGATGAGGGCAATTTTGATTTTTAAGTAGTCTACAAGAAGTCAAGAGAAGTAATTGCCAGCAGAAATCTGGAGCTACGAAGCTAGCAAAACAAGTACACATGGATCTTCATTTCAATTTTTCCATTGATTTCGGCTTTATTATTTATTTATTTATTTTTTGTTCCCTTGTTACAAAGTAGAAAAATATAAAGGAGGAAGAGAGATAATGGTTGAATCATTTCTTATTGTGAGTCTAAATTTATTGAAAAAATTCTACATTGTCTAGGTAAGATGCCAATCACATGATCAAACAAAATTAATTAGGGTGTGGTATCTGGAGAAAGTTTATAAGATCAGCTCATGCGAGGATGTCCACACTAAGGCCATGCCTGGGGAAATGGTTAGGATGTGGCGAAAGGGAAGGAGTCCCTGGATGCATGTAAGTTTAAATCTCCACTTTCAGATTCTGTTTAAATCTGCACTTTCAGAGCAAGCTGTTGTTGGTTCCACTCCTGACATAGCTCCACCAACAGCCAGCTGGTTCCCAAATCAGGGAACTTTGTTTCCTCCATCTCTCGTGCGGCTAACTCCGCCAAGCCGCCCTGGTCTCATTCAACTTCACCAGTTGCCAGCTGATGCTATTCTCATCAACACTGGGAGCTACAATTGCTCTACATCAGCTAACCACCTGGAGGCTAGCTCTGCCAATCTTCTAACAACCGCCCAGGCTGTGCCCTTTCTCCTGTCTACCTCAGTCGCCACAGATGAAAAACACCAGACAGCCTTAGTATGTTAAAACCAGCCAGATAACACAACTGCTTGGTGAAGAATCTCTAGGCCCAAATGCATCAGCTATCGTATGTTGGAATTCCTCTGGTGGTGGAGGCAGCCATCTGTTCTAGTTCCCCTAGGCCTCACATGGTCCGTGCTCCTCCCTCCAAAGCCTCCCCCTCTCATTTTTTTCCTTTCCTCTTGGGACCCGGAAATCCCACCTTCTTTCCCTCACCCAGCGATTGGCTTCTGCCGTCCTTATTGACATGAGCAGAAAACAATTAGGGAACCAGACATTAGTATCAGCTCCTCCCCCTACAGTCTCTTGTAAAATACTATTTGTTAAATGAGTTATCTTATATATTGGAAACCATTAATTAATACCCTATAAGTGTGAATTTCAAGATACTAATATACTTTCATCCCCAGATGGCATAACATTTAATGATGTCTTACAATAATTTTTGGTGAATAATTTTAGTCGTGGTGACTGATTATTGTGTTGAATAAGACTTTATTGAGAAAGAAGGCTTTTACTCTACATGAAAATATAAAATAGACTCTTTTTAAAATATTTTCTAGATTCAAGTTGTTCAGTTAAAGGACAGAAGCAGATGACACAGGATGGTTCATTTCCTTTTTCAGACTGTAGTATCTTCTGCGATGCAGTGGATGTCACCGTGGAGATGGAGAGTGAGTCTTGGTTAGAAAAGTAGCTAATCCCCTGTCTGCAGCATTCCAGCCTGATACTTAGTAGAAGCACTCAGCGGTCCAAGTGCTTTGCTGTGACAGGCCCGGAATAATCAGTCTGCTAGTTGTCTCCCAAACAAGGCACATCCTGGTTTGCCTTTAAGCCTTTGTTAACTTGAAGTCATGGAAAGATCATGGGTACCTTAGTCACTGTTCTATTGTTGTAAAGGGACACTATGACCAAGGCAACTTTTATAAAATAAAGCATTTAATGGAGAGCTGGCTTACAGTTTCAGAAGTTTCGTCCATTACATCAGGGTGGCGAAATGGTGGCACTCACATGAGCTTTTGAAACTTCAAAGCCCAACCCTGGTGACACACTTCCTTTGACAAGGCCACACTCAATCCAAGAAAGCCACACCTACTAATTCTTTTAATCTGTTGCACTAACAGTTTCACCCCCTTGTGATTAAGCATTCAAATGTAGGAGCCTGTGGGACCATTCCCATTACAACCTCCACAATGGGCTTAATTTCCTCTTTGGTCTGTGTTAAAGTTCCAGCTTATTCTTTATCTACTTACATGGTCTTTATTTGGCCATAAAATGTGTGGCCAGAGGAGGTAAACAATAAAACAACAAGAAAAGAGAGAGATTATAGGAAAGCCAAGACTTATTCATGCAATATGCTCTTTCAGACTGTAACTGTTTCTAATATGTTAAAGTAAGGTCATTCTGACACTTTTGATTGAATAAACAACCTTCAGTAAACCCTTATCAGTCAGTGCCTTTTGCCAATGTACAGGAGGTATGAGGTTCTACATTGAAAAATCTCGTAGATTCTTGAGTTTAATTTTAAACTATTAAAGAAAGCACAATGGCCAATCTGTTTATTTAATTCTGATAGAATACAGAAACAAAATCTATGGGCAACACTCACATAGCTGAATTGTCTGTGAGTTTACACTTACCTAATAGGAAGAAAAGACATGTTACGAAATTTTTATGGTTTTGAACATATTCTTTTTTTTTACTAGAAGTAAATATTTCTAACCATCTTCTATTTCTATTGATTATTATTACTTTTTTGGAAGTAAATATTTCTAAGCATCATCTGAGATGATCTGGCAGGGGAAACTTTATAATCTTTTAAATTGAATTGATCTTACTTACTTAGTAATCCAAAAATAAAAAATAAACATACAAATTTCTAACTAGTTTAATGTGAACGCCATGAGTTACTTTTAATGACAATGTAGTATATTTTTCTACTTTAATGCTTATCTAAATCCTTAGGAGGAGGCTTGTTGATTATATTAGTACTTACCAAAACTTAAGCGGAGACAATCAAATGACTGAGTATTCTATTTGTTTCTCCAGAAGCACAAATTGTATGATGACACCAATATTGTCCACCACCCATAAATTAGATTTAGAATGCTATTTTTGTAATTTAATGTAATTACATTGTTTTTATGTTTGGCTTACTAGATCTTAGTACAAATACTAAGAAGCAATTGTCTGTCCCTAGATAGCAAAACTCCTGTGTTAACTACAAATACTTTAAAACACATGCTGATTCACTGGAAATGTGTATCAGTGGATACATATAATAAGTGTATCAATTTGCTTAAAAATAATGCCTGTTTTGTGAATTATAATTTATTAATTGTACTGGTTTTGGAACATAATTACCAGCACAAAAGATACTGTAGTACAACTTTATGTAGTCTACTGTAGGTAAGTTGAACATACCAAGTCCTTTATTAAGCTCCCTCTTTCTCTCTCCTTGCCTGTGTTTTGTGTGTGTGTGTGTGTCCAGTTAGCACTCCAGTGTCTGTACAGATAGATACAAAGGCTTGGCTCTACTGCCCTTCTAGTTCATCACAAAAAACAGCACTTATAATATGGAAAATAACCCCCAGAAGCTGGCCTTCCTGCAGACTTCCCTACAGAGCAGAATTGCAGCAGATCAGTGAAAAAATCTGTACTGACCGAAAAAACACCCAGGCCTCCCTGCTTCAGCAGAATTCTGATCTTCAGATCAGCGGAGAGGCCCGTGAGCAGGATGGACATTATTCATGTCAGATAGCAACAACTGACGGGATTTTCCAAACGAGACATGTCCAAGTGCTGGGTAAGCCACATACTGTGCTATTTTAGGTCACCAACTTTTAGAAACAAATGTCTTCATAATTTAAGATAAGATTGAATCTTTATTTTCTTTCCATCTCTACAGTCTCCTCTGAAGTAAGCGGCTTTCCAGGGAAAAATAGAACTGCAGTCTGTGAGACAATTGCAGGCAAGCCTGCTGTGCAGATCTTTTGGATTCCGGATGGGGATTGTGTCACTAAGGATGAATCACACAGCAATGGCACCGTGTCTGTCAGGAGCACATGTCGCTGGAGTCAAGACAATGGCCAAGATGTGTTTTGCTTTGTCTCCCATTTGACTGGCAACCAAACTCTCTCCATAAAACAGAATCAAGGTACGTATCCTGCCCCCTTTTTAAAAAGAAGAAATAACAGATATTTAAGTTATTCTTCCATGAAAGATAAATATTTGAATTTCTGTCTGTTAGTGACAAATGTGGTAAAAAGCCACTTAGGGAAGGAAAGAGGAAAGAGCAATATCTTGAAGCAGAAACCATGGAAGAATGCTGTGTGCTAGCTCCTCAGACCCATGCTAAGCCATCTGTCTGTCTGTCTGTCTGTCTGTCTGTCTGTCTGTCTGTCTATGTATGTATGTATGTATGTATGTATGTATGTATGTATATATATGCCTGCCTATCTATCTATCTATCTATCTATCTATCTATCTATCTATCTATCTATCTAAGTGTTTCATAATCCATATTTTCATAATCCATATTTTCATAATCCAGGATGTTTCCATAATCCATGTATCAGGTCCCGAGATTTGCTAGGATGGTTCACAGAACTGAGGAAGGTACCTTGCTTACACTTACTGTACTGGCTTATTATGAAGACTGCAACACAGAGATAGACAAATTGAATAGACTCATAGGGCCCTCTATGGAAGAAGGAGCACAGAGCTTCATGCCATCGCAAGGATTTCTGTGCTCCCAGTTCCTTGATGTTATCCCCATATAGAAGCTCTTCAAACTGTACTGTTTAGGACTTATGTTAATACATAGTCATGAGGGTTAATCATTGATCATTGGTGATTAACTCAATCTCAAGCTATTCTTCCTTTATAGGACATTTAATGAGGGTTAATCATTGATCATTGGTGATTAACTCAATCTCAAGCTATTCTTCCTTTATAGGACGTTTATGGTGGTGATGGTGATAGTATGAGGCTCCAAGTCCTAACTCACTAATTACAATTTAGTCTTTCTGGTGATAGCCCCAACCATGAAGCTCTCTAAGAGCTTCTAGACAGCAGTCATTTTATTGGAATAGTAAAGACATTTTTATTATGATGGTAATTCTTTTAGGAGCTGTATTTTAGAAGATGGAAAATAAAGATTATATATGTATTTTTTATTTCAAATTTAATTTTTTTTGAGATAAAGTATCTCTACATGGTCATGGCTGTCTTAGAATCTGTAAAGAAGTTCTGATTATCATAGATCTGATCTCCATATTTCCTTTTATGTCTTCTAAAAAGGATTCAAGTTAATTTATTCTCAGATGTTTTTTCAAGTTGCTTCTTTCCCATGAAAAATCCCCTTCCCCTAACCTCTTTCATCTAGTAGGCTATCAAGACACTATCCTAAATCCACTTCTTCCTGACTTGAAGCTAATGTTGAGTAGTCATTTTGATTCTTCAGATGTTTTAGAGCATTTTATCCTCACCGAGCACTGTTTGATGGTTTGTAAGTCATCTAAAACAACTCTGACAACAAAAACACCACTGGAAGTGTCATCAGATCCAATTTCAAGCTGTACTATGCAGGCAAAGTAGCAAAATAAGAATGATATTAGTACAAATACAGACATATTGATCAATGCAACAGAATTGAGGACCTGCATAAAAGTCCATGGAGCTATAGTGACCTGATCTTTCACAAAATTCTAAAAAAAATCACTGAAGAAAAGATAGCATCTGTATAGATGGTGTTGGGAAATTGGATGAAGAATGAACATGTAGAAGAATAAAACAATTCTCTTTGCATGGACAAAATTCCAAATGGATCAAACATCTCAATGTTATATCTGTAATACTTAGAACTTCCATAAGAAAGAGCAGCAAGTATACTATGTACATAGGCTTAGGTAAGGACTTTCTGAATAGGACTCTGGTTGCTTAGGAAATAAAATAGAAACTCAGCAAATGGGACTATAGTGTGATTTATTTTGTGTGCCTGGCCTTTTAAAGGATCCTCAGTTGCTAGTCAGCTGGCCTGTTGGGAGTGCTTGGCCCTTAGACCTGCTCGAGCCTATGACTTTCAATGTTGTCTCTTGGACTTCAGGGAACAGGAGAGGATACAAAAGCCAGCAGAAGCTGACAGAGGGGAGTAGGATTTGAGTAGGATGAGGGTAGGATCCAGGTGACAGAAGACTAGGGTCAGAGAGTAGGGTTACAAAAGACAATTAGTGCAAAAAAGAGATTGAACAGAGTTAAAAAAGAAGAGAGTTGAGCCAGCAGAAGCTGGGCCGAGCCATAGAAGATATTGTTAGGAGAGAGCTAGGAGAAGGCTCACAAAGTAGGGTGGAGAATAAAAAGGAAAAAGCTACATGGGACTTCATGAGACTAAAAAGGTTTCTGTACTGCCAAGGATAACTGTTAAGTAACTGAAAGGCAGCCTACAGCGTGGGAAATTTTTTTGCCATCTGCAGATCTGTGGATCTAGAATATGCAAGGCATCAAGAAACTGTAACCATTAGAAAAACAGACAACCAAATTGAAAAATGAGCTACAGAACTGAATAGAGATTTCTCAGAAGGAAGGCAATTGGTTAAAGAAATATTTTTAAAGCTCTTCACCATCCTTAGCCACAAGGGTAATGCAAATTCAAACTGCTTTGAGATTTTATCTTAATCCAACCAGAATGGCTAATATTAAGACAATAAAAGTCAACGGATGTAGGGAGCAGGGAACCTTTACTCTTGGTAGGACTACAAAGGTTCAGGTTCCATGGAGATCAATGTGACTGTTCCTCAGAAAACTAGAAATAGTGACCAAACTCGCCCATTCTCAGAAATTTACCAAAGTACAGAGATAATATGCCAATCTATATTCATAAATGCTCTAGTCCTAATAGCTAGAACATGGAGATAGCCTAGATGATGAATGAATAATGCCCATGTGTGCACTAATGGCCTGGATAATGAAGAGGCTGCTAATTGCTTCCGATTGGATTTAAGGCCACAGAAGACAATAAATGCTTGGTATTTTAAGTGTGTCCAGGAGCCCATGGATGGAGAGACCACAGCCTATTATTCTGCAAAAAAGATCTAGAATAAAACTCTCCCAATTTGGATCACTCTACCTCAATTTGCAACTCTCATATATCTTCAGAAAAGTTTCTTTTTTTTTTTCAGTGAAGAATGGTTAAAACAAAAACTCTCAACTGGTCAAGGAAGAAAAAGCAGAAAGATTGTAAAATTCAACAATCAGGGAAGATCAAAGAAAAACAGCTTTTGGATGGGACAGGGTCTTTGAGCTCACAAGTTCATAGCAATGTAGTTTTCTGTATAGGACTCTCACAAGACCACAGCAGTCAATATTCTAACACAGAATAGAAAGGGTCTCAGGAGTCCCCACCCTGCCAACTGAGGAAGTATGGACAGTTAATGGTTTCTTGAGGAGAGAGAGTCAGTTATCTCTAAGGGTATTGCTTCTGGTAGGCTCCAACCTAGGAGTATATGGACAACATAACCTGAAGCCAGTGGGCTATTAAAAAATCCACAAAGTTTGTGAGGTAACAAAGTAGGGTATGGACCTGACAGGAGTTAGAGGATGAGTTAGACATTAATATGATCACAGTACTTTGTGTTAAATTCTCAATTTTTTAAAGAAAAAATAAAAATAAAATGTAATAATATCTTTCAAAGAGGATCTAAGTTGGATCTGACCTGAAAAACCTCCTTCCTGAGGACTAACTTCCATAGTCACCAAAGCTACTGTGCAAGCTGCCTAAAGGGGGAAGCAGCTTTACTACCTAGCTGTAAAGCTTATGAGCCACAGCAATGAAAAGCATGGCTGGTCTCTAAGGTATAACAGTGGCAATCATATCTTGGCCTCAACCAAGAGGAGGAAAATCATGGCTGATACTAGAGACTCAAAGTTAGTGAAGCCATTGATGTTAAAGAGAAAGCTACCACTGCCCTTCACCTAACCAGCATAATGCCTAAATTCTAAATACCCTTACCAATAAGTATGGCTCTTCACCCTTACCAAAGAAGCGTCTATTTGTGATAGAAACCATCACAAAGAGCTGCAAATAGTCAGATTGCAGAGAACACTGATCATAGGACATTTAGCTCCCAAGGATACATCTACAACACAATTCCTACCTGTAATGAATGCTCAGGGAATGTTGTTGAAGAGGAGTCAGAAACGTTATAAGAGCCAGAGAAGCAAGAAATCTGTAGGAAGATTGTGTTTCCTAGAAATGTCAGGGAAGCTTCACCCATGAAACTGAGCAATATGGCTGCCTAAACACGTTCTGAACAATAGATATACAAATGTGGAAGGGGAAAATCTCACTGGGCCTCACCCTTAGAAAAAGAACTACAGTTAACTAAAGATGAGAGTGGGAGAAGCAGTCTTCTTTCAAGGATGACCCCCTAATTGGTTATCCAATATCAAGGGGTGGTCCAATATCAAGCCTGAAATTATGTACATGCAAGCATATCTGAATGAACACAGCAGATTTTATTTACATATTATGTATAAATATGTAATGGTAACAATTTTAAAAGAAGAGGCTGGGAATTTGGGAGGGGTCATTAGAAGGCAGGGGCACCTTGGGGAGCTTGGAGCAAGGAAAAAGAATACATGGAAATCATGCAACTATATTTTCATAAGAACAAAAATTTGCATGTGAAATTTTCCCTTGTAACTGGGAAGTGTTAATAATACTTAGTGTGCATTTCTTCACTTTAAAATATTTGCCAATCCCTATCAAGCACAAAAGCTAAACTTGGTCCCTAAACTTGATTCTGAAATAATGATCTGAACTCTATCTGTATTATATTTGATATAACTGACATTCTGTAAACCTTTGGAACTATTTTACATGATTTTTTAATGCTGTTTGCCTCTAATTTCTTGCTAAGAACTATTATCAAACTGACCAGACATTTTACCCTTGCCAGTATTTAAAGGTACAACCATCACCCTGCCTTCCTTGCTGATCATTCTCTATGTGAAACTGGCCATAATTCTTCTCATCATAGGATTTGCTTTCTTCCAGAAAAGAAACTATTTCAGGTAGGAACCAAAAAATAAAATGTTAAGACTCATTCAAAAGAAAACATTGTCACAACTTGGAGTTCACAGATGACTGGGAAAGTATGTTATGTGGTCCCATCATGGGTGTTCTCTCAGCCTTTCTTCTGCTTCAGTCATTTGTGAACAATGGAGCCCAGACACAGGTGGCCACAGCTCTGGCAAGAGATTCTGTCTTGCTATAGTTCTAATCCAGCAGGAACTTATCCTGATTTCGTCTCTAAGGATTCAGTGGTAGAAATGAAGTTGCTGGAACTTTATTAGTGTTAGTTTCCCAGTTTCTTGATTTCTGTGGGCTTCTGCTGATTCCTGCTTAATTGTACGTTATGTAATTTTTTTGTTTTTGTTTTTGTTTTTGTGTATTTCTAGAACATGGATATCCAGATTTCTGGAAGGCCATTAATCTGAAGACACAATACAAGAAAACAGTCATTCGAAATCAACTTTCTCTTTGAAATACAGCTTACCTGTCTTAGGCTTCATGTTTGTTAGAATTCATTCCACAGTTGGCAATCATACAGTATGATTATATAGGCAAAAGCTTAGTGCTTACCATCAGATATGCTGTGAATGACCCTTCTACTCTCTCCCTTTTCCACTTCTCAGGCCAAAGGAGAAAATGGCTGAGGAAAAAGTAAACAAGAGTGCTGGGTGGTTTTTCTTCACCTAAGTCCCCCAGGAGTGGCTTCCATCAACTTCTTCCCAGGTTCATTTTACATGATCATAAGTGTTTCATTATCAGTACCATGACAAGCAACACTTTTAAGTAGGCCACTAGCTGCTGGCCTTTTTTTCTTGCTTGCTTGCTTGCTTGCTCTCAAGTAACATGATAGTTGCCTTTTGTATTAATCATTGATTACATGGTTAGGATCCATTTTTTTTAGCATTATCTCTGCACTTTAGGAGAAGTTAAAAGTTGATCCCAGAGAAGCCACTGACAGTATAATGGAGGTAACACCAAAGACTCCTTTTGCTATGTAAAGCTCTAGTGTCTAAATTCCCTATGCTGTCTATATTCTGCCTTATAGAGGGTGGGATGAATCAGTGAAGGTAAGAGTAAGATACTGGTGAACTGTAACAACTATAAACCCAGCCCTTATCTTCCCTGGATACACATAGTATTCCTATGTCTCTTGTATTTTTCTTAAAGGTGACCAGCTATTATGACTCAATAATGTACTGGTCTAGAAATCAATCCAATATTGGAAATAACAGTCTACATTTGGAAAGCTGAATCTAGACATTTTCAGAGACATATTTGGAAGTTAGCTGTAGTTCACTATGATGTTATGATAGCAAGAGATAAAGTTGAGACAGGATCTAGATTTCAAACAAGGGTTAGTACATGTTTTAAGACTCTTTTAATTGTCAAGCTAAAATTGGTTTTGTCTCTTCTACAGTATTTATTGTAAGTCGCATAGAGTGTATAATTTCCAAATGTGTTAGTGTATTGAAACCTGGCACGTCTGTTACAGGGGTCTATCAACTAGCTTTTGTCTTACAGCTCTGAGTATCAGAAAACCTTGATCCTCTGAAAAAAAGCTTGAAAGTGCTGGAAGAAGTGAGTTAGGCTTTATTATTGCTGGTATAACAGCTTTAATTTCATTAATTGCTAGCACCACTGCTTCTGCAATAGCACTGACACAAGGAGTTAAGACAACTATTTTCGTTAACCATCTAGCAAAAAAAATGTTACTAATGTATTGAGTATACGAAAGGATTTATATTGGTATCTGGAACAATGGATGATGCTCTATAACCTATTCAAATTATCTGAAAGGGGTTCAGGATTCAAGAGTTAGGAGCCATCCTAAGTGTCATGACAAATATCATTGGAGTAGTGTTACTTCTAAAATTTACAATGATTGTCATTATAATTATAAAAAAGTTTAAAGACACCTGTAGGATATTTGGCATAATCCTAACACCTCTCTGGGTGTGTTAACTTTGCATAGTGAGATTATGAATTTAAAAAATGCTACTCTGTTGAACTTTGATGTTGCAGATAATGCCGATAAAATTATCCATGGCCTGAGGTCAGTGTTTCCATTTTGGTCAAACCTCAGGAATGACATATATAGCTTGATCAACCTAGAACTGACCTTAATACTTGCATGTAATTTAAACAGTATAAAGGCAAAAAAGGAGGTGGGATGGGATAGGGGATTAATGGGTGGGGGGAATGGGGAAGGGAGATGGCACCTGAAATGTAAATAAATAAAATATCAAATAAAAAGAGAAAAAAGTTTTTAGTTAAAAGAATTATATCTGGTGGGCTGGGGCAGACACAGAGTTGGTCTGCTCCTGTCCTGTGGAGATACTGACTGAGTCATCCTAGAGGAGCCACTGCACTCAGAGCAGCCGGTAAGAACTCCATCTCATTCCCTAACCTCCAGAGACATATCTGGGAGCCAGGGCCATTCAGGGCACAGCAGCTACCCAAACCCCGCCCCTCCAGAATTCCACTTCCCTTCCTCCCCTGCCTGGTCCTGTGTGCTGGGACAGACACAGAGTTGGTCTGCTCCTGTCCTGTGGAGATACTGACTGAGTCATCCTAGAGGAGCCTCTGCACTCAGAGCAGCCGAGGAGCCACTGCACTCAGAGCAGCTGACACTGAGTAGATCTACTCCTGTCCTGTGGAGATACTGACTCCTGAGTCATCCTAGAGGAGCCACTGCACTCAGAGCAGCAGACACCAAGATTAGGATCATAAGACTACGGAGACATCTGGATCTGAGAAGCTCTGCAACAAGCAAGATAACTGGAAATACAGACTCCAGTCTTACACAATGAGGGCAGGCAACACTAGAGTTAACCAGATGGCGAAAGGCAAGCGCAAGAACATAAGCAACAGAAACCAAAGTTTCTTGGCATCATCAGTACCCAGTTCTCCCAATATAGCAAGCCCTGAACACCCCATCACACCTGAAAAGCAGGATTCAGAATTAAAATCACTTCTCATGATGATGATAGAGGATTATAAGAAGGAATTAAGTAACTCCCTTAAAGAAATACAGGAGAGTACAAGTAAACAGATAGAAGCCCTTAAAGAGGAATCACAGAAATCCCTTAAGGAAATGCAAGAAAACACAAAGAAGGAATTAAACAAAAACATTCAGGATCTGAAAATGGAAATAGAAACAATAAAGAAAGCTCAAAGGGAGACAACCATGGAAATAGAAAACTTAAGAAAGAGATCAGGAGTCATAGACGCAAGCATCACCAACCGAATACAAGAGATAGAAGAGAGAATCTCAAATGCAGAAGATACGGTAGAAAATATTGACACAGTTGTCAAAGAAAATGCAAAATGCAAAAACCTCCTAACTCAAAACATCCAGGAAACCCAGGACACAATGAGAAGACCAAACCTAAGGATAATAGGTATAGATGAGAATGAAGAGTCCCAACTTAAAGGGACAGTAAATATCTTCAACAAAATTATTGAGGAGAACTTCCCTAACCTAAAGAACAAGATGCCCATAAACATACAAGAAGCCTACAGAACACCAAATAGAATAGACCAGAAAAGAAATACCTCCCGTCACATAATAATCAAAACATCAGATGCACAAAACAAAGAAAAAATACTAAAAGCAGTAAGGGAAAAAGGTCAAGTAACATACAAAGGCAGACCTATAAGAATTACACCAGACTTCTCACCAGAGACTATAAAAGCCAGAAGAGCCTGGACGGACATCATACAGACCCTAAGAGAACACAATTGCCAGCCCAGATTACTATACCCAGCAAAACTCTCAATCACTATAGATGGTGAAACCAAGATATTCCATGACAAAACCAAATTTGCACAATATCTTCCCACAAACCCAGCACTTCAAAGGATAATTGATGGAAAATGCCAACACAAGGAGGGAAACTACAACCTAGAAAAAGCAAGGAAGTAATCTTCCAACAACCCCAAAAGAAGATAACTATACAAACATAACTTTACCTCTAATAGCAAAAATAACAGGAAGCCACAATCATTTTTCCTTAATATCTCTTAACATCAATGGTCTCAATTCCCCAATAAAAAGACGCAGACTAGCAGACTGGATACACAAACAAGACCCAGAATTTTGCTGCATACAAGAAATGCATCTCAGTGACAAAGACAGACACTACCTCAGAATAAAAGGGTGGAAAACAATTTTCCAAGCCAATGGTCCCAAAAACAAGCTGGAGTAGCCATTCTAATATCAAATAAAATCGACTTTCATCCAAAATTAATCAAAAAAGATAAGGAAGGACACTTCATACTCATCAAAGGAAAAATCTACCAAGGTGAACTCTCAATTCTGAACATCTATGCTCCAAATGCAAGGGCACCTACATACATAAAAGAAACTTTACTTAAGCTCAAAACACACATTACCCCTCACACAATAATAGTGGGGGATTTCAACACCCCACTCTCAGCAATGGACAGATCATGGAAACAGAAACTAAACAGAGACACTTTGACATTAACAGAAGTTATGAACCAAATGGTCTTAACAGACATCTATAGAACATTTCATCCTAAAACAAAAGAATATACCTTTCTCTCAGCACCTCATGGTACCTTCTCCAAAATAGACCATATAATTGGTCACAAAGCAGGCCTCTACAGATACAAAAAGATTGAAATAATCCCTTGCATCTTATCAGATCACCACGGACTAAGACTGGTCTTTAATAATGACAAAACCAATGGAAAACCCATGTGCACATGGAAACTGAACAACTCTCTACTCAATGATGACTTGGTCAAGGAAGAAATAAAGAAATTAAAGACTTTTTAGAATTCAATGAAAATGAGGACACATCATACCAAAACTTGTGGGACTCCATGAAGGCAGTGCTAAGAGGAAAATTCATAGCTCTAAGTGCCTACAAAAAGAAACTGGAAAGAGCACACACTAACAACCTGACTGCACAACTAAAAGCTCTAGAACAAAAAGAAGCAAATACACCCAGGAGGAGTAGAAGGCAGGAAATAAT